GCGTCAAGTCTATCCCGACGATCCGAAATTTCTAGAAGATTCATACTACGACGCCACATCGAGGCCTCACGAGTATTTGTTGCTCGATCTGAAACAATCAACTCCGGACGAGTATCGATTTCGAACGTGTATTTTTCTCGAGAATACGTTTCATTACGTCTACGTACCGCGTAGCTCGTTTTTTAGCGGATACGTATAAAAGTTGAGTACGCCTAATCGCGTATATCAGTCGTAGATTTTGTTCGCGATGAGGCTGGCTGACGCGAAATCGCACAGAGCGACGAAAATCGCCACACATTCGATCGGTAAGAGAAACGCCTGTCTCCTCGCGGCGCTCTATCATTTGAACAAAAATCAACGCACAACCTTCTTGCGTAGCGCTGACGAAAAACTAATTCGTTGCATCTGTGAATGTGTTTTTAATCCACTCAAAACGTCTCGCTCGAACGGCGTGAAAAAAACCGGTTAACCAAATACAAAAAAGCTCTGCGTTGCGTCGCTGCAACGCGGTAATTAGAAGGATAGAAGAAAGCTGTTGGTGCAGCAAGGCGGATTTTACCCTATATTATCGGACCCGTATTATCGACCTTATTATCGCTAATTATCGAAGGAACGAAATAGTAGAGATAAAACGTTATGGAGAGAGCTAAAAAAATGGTTTTAATTTCGACGGAAAATCTGGAGAGAATGCAGCATCATCTACGTCGGAATCCGACATCGTTCGTCGACGGAGATTCAAAAGGAATAACAGTACCGCAAAATTCGGATAACACCTTGAGCTCTAATAACACAACGCAAACCTCGGGAACTCGTCTAACGCGACTCGATGCGGAGATGAGTCGTATTCTCAATTCCAGATGGCCTCGCTACGAAAGCGAGAGGTGGAAAATGTACAGAGAGGCATTATGGAGATACCTACGGTTTATCCGAGAAACGCGAAGACAGAAAGACGTACGTAACGAAAACGAAAATGCAGAAGACAACGCTACACGAGATGCCTCCGATGATAACGAGAGCGATGACGTTTTTTACGATCTCACGCGAACATCCGATATACCACCGCCATCACATTCCAATAGTAACACAGATATTACAGTGAAAAATTTCGAAATTTCGAGCGAGCATAATCATATGATGAAAAGCATCGAGGAAATAATGAAAAGCATACCGAAATCTTATCGTAAGCATGCACACTTACTGATGAAACATTTGCTTCGAAAAGCTCTGCCCGATAAACTTAGTTGGGACGAGCACGGAATCGTGACTATAGATGGTAACGTCGTGAAAGATTCGAATATCGCTGACTTAATAAACGAAGCAATGCGCGAGAGAAAAACCGTGAAAGCAGTGGGTCGAAATCAGTTTGCGCGATTACTCCGTGTGAACATACCTTCTGCACTGGTGGGAAATAAAAGTTTATTGCCCACGCACGCTGATGCTGTAAATATCGTAAAACTTCGACCGCGCGCGAAATCCACGCCTGTTATCGCATCAAAAAAGCAAGTTCCATGTCGATCGTATCGAGAGCCCGAGGAAAGAGAAAAACGTAAAAATTACGAACAAGAAATAGACGAGGGAAGCTCGCTGATTCTTTCTCGCAAACGAAAAACTGATACCCCCGTATCTTTGCAAACGGGGAAAAGCCGGTTGCTCGGCTGGAAAAAATTGAGATAACGATGACGTTTGAAAAACTATACTACGATCCGTCGAATTATGCGAGTTATTCGGCGGTGGATAATCTAACTCGCGCCGTTAAACCAAATTTCTTCCGAACGGGGAGAAGTCGTACGCTGTCTCGAATCGCAAGACGCGTACACGTTGCACAGGCCATTGCACAGAAAATTTCCAAGATTGCATTACAACGTGACAAACATTGACGATGTGTGGGAGGCAGATTTGATCGAACTGCGAAATCTAAAAAGTTACAACGACGGTTATTCCTATCTGTTAGTAATTATCGATGTATTAAGCAAATACGAGTATGTCTGGGTAGAACCGCTACGTGACAAAACGAGAAATAGCGTGATAAAAGCTTTTTAACGCGTACTAACAAAAAGCGAAGAACGAGTACCTGTATACTTACAAACGGACAAAGGTAAAGAATTTGTCGCGCACCCAATGCAAAAATTCCTTAAAGAAAACGATATTCGTTTTCGAGTAACACGCAATCCCGACATTAAAGCCGCCGTTGTCGAGCGCTTCAACAGAACACTGAAGGAGCGAATGTGGCGTTATTTCACGCATAAAAATACGCGACGCTACGTCGATGTTCTACAGGACGTTGTACGCGCTTACAATCACACGCGTCACACGTCCACGAGAATGCAACCCGCGGTAGTAACGAGAGAAAACGCCCGTATCGCGCGTGAAAATATATCACGTCGTTGGAAAAACAACATATTAAAGAAACGAACGCGAAAGATTAAATATCGCGTTGGAGATCTCGTTCGTATCAGTAGGGCGAAAGCAGCCTTCGAGAAAGGTTACGAGGCTAAATGGAGCGAGGAAATATTTCAAATTTATCGTATTCTCGATTGGCGAAATCCTCACGTGTACGAGCTACGAGATTTAGCAGATGAAGTCATAGATGGTATTTTTTATGAGCAAGAATTAGCACGAGTTGAGAAGAACTTAGAGGAAGAACAATTTATCGTTGATCGCGTGATAAAGAGTAGAGGGCGCGCGAGGAGCTAATAACAAGTGCTAGTTAACTGGCTCGGTTATCCCAGTAAGTTTGATTCCGGCATCGAGTTTAATTTCTCTTTGCGATGGAGGGGGAACAATTTCTTCTGGTACTCCCGAGTAACAGTAGTATGCGCCATTTTCCTAATAATACAACGTCGTCCTTCAACACGAAATTACCTCACGCTATAGTCTTGCATGGAGAATGGGAGGTTGCGATAAGTGAGATTCAATTTCCTGGTACCTTTTTACACGTGCGTCATAACGTAAATGTGATCAGATTCGTCGACGTTAAACCCGACGAGGAAACGATTGGCCCGTTTACGGCGAAAGAAGCTCCATTTCCAAATGGAATTTACAACGATATCCACGAGCTTATTAAGGCGATTAATATCGCGTGTAAAGATGCCGAGTCGCGTTTTTTATTTCGAACAGCAAAGTGCGTCTGGCGGCAAAGTCTACATAAGTATTAACTGCGACGAAAAATGCAAAATGCAGCATCATATAAACTTTTCCGATAATCTTCTACGAATGCTAGGATTCTCAGCAGCAATTTCCGGTAAACATCAGTTTTATTTCAAGCTAGGGATACGTAAACCTAATTCCAATGAGACAGAAGAAAAAATTTTTCTTACTCATGGATTTAATAAGAAGACGGGGCAGCGACATACAGTCGGTTATTGGAGTAGCGAACCCTATAGTTTGTGGCGTGCTATCCCTGATAAAATGTTGTATATTGCGATATTTGTGCGCCTTATATAACAGGCGATGTGCGTACTCCTCTTCTCAGAATAGTACCAATCGAGATACGCAGTCATAATTACGCATTTGGTGCAAATTTGGTGAAGCATTTCTCATTTCCAAATTATATCCCCTTGCAGCGAACAAATTTCAGAACGATCGAAATAGATATAAGAGATCATCTTGGAAATAAAATTCCATTCGAATTCGGTACGCTGACTGTGACACTGCACTTTAAACGTAAGCAATAACTTTCTTTCGTATGCGCGAACGCGAAGGTAACGCCAGTCTATAGTTAACAACTCGCAATGGAA